TTTAAGATTTGTGAATAAATTTTATGTTAGTTCAGTATGATTGAAGTGGTTATGTTATTTACAATAAAATAATATCTTTTAGTTTACCATAATTAGTGCATATGGATCCGGTTTAAAGAGAGTTGATTTACTTACTTGCAACTAATATTATAGATCCGAGATTGTGTGAAGTGGATTTACAGTTCAGAACGTCGACAACAAAACTTCGAGGATTCTGTAGTCGGGTTTTGCAGTGAACTTATTTCAAGCCAGCGACCAGCCCTTGATGTGGTAACATGCTGGAATTCGACATACGTAATGTTATCATCTACCATCCCCTATAGAAATGTATTTGAACGTCTTACGTTCAGAGATGCTAGTTTTGAGCCAATTGCACCACTTGACGATGACTGGGAAAAGGCAGAGAATCTTTGTAATTTTCTGAAGCCATTCTATGAAAGTAAGTTATATACTGAATTGTTTATGTATTTTATTATGTACACAAATTAAATAGCACTACACTTTAATCAGTTACCAATGTTGTATCAGGAAGCTCCTATTCCACAGCAAATATTTTTCTTCCCCAATTGTTGAAAATTAGAATGCACCTCGAACGAAATGCTACTAACGCAGATCCCTTTCTTTCTCAAATGATTATTCCAATGCAAACAAAATTTAATAAGTACTGGGCAGATGCAGGAGATATGCACTGTATTGCCTCGATGTTAGATCCACGTTATAAGATGTCGTTACTAACACATATATATAAGCAGAAGATGAACTTGTCATGTAGTGAAGCAGAAGACAAAATATCTTCAATTAAATCGAGGTAAATATTATCTATACCAGTCAAAAATTTAACATAACGCATATTAGGTAACTACTAATAACTATATATTTACTATTATAGGGCTATGACCATCTACAATTCGACTTATAGACAGCATACAGTTGATACAGTAGTGATAGAAGATTTTTCAGACGTTTTCCAAGACGAAGAAATGCAAGACTTTTATGCATTTATTAATGCCAATGAAGCAAATGTTGAAAAGGAATTGAATGAATTTGAGCAATACTTAGCTGACCCACTATTTCCACGTTCTCAATCAGTGTCATTCGACGTTCTTGCTTGGTGGAAATTAAATTCCCAAAAATATCCTTCGGTGTCGGCCATGGCGCGAGATATCCTCGCAATTCCATTAACTTCAGTGGCCTCTGAGGCTGTAAATGAACTTTAAAGCTCAATCTATTGCCTATGTATAATTTTTAGTTTCAACTAATTTATACTTTATATTTAGGCGTTTAGTATGGCTGGAAGACTTGTCGATGACTATCGGTCAAACCTTACTCCGGAATCAATCGAAATGTTGATCTGTGGTCAAGATTGGTTAAATGGTGTAGATGAATGGAGTCAGTATTAAACTGGCAGTTTTTTTTTGGTGAATTTTTTTTGGAGTTTTTTTTCTTGGTAGCCTTTTTTTTCTTGGCGCCTTTTTTTTTCTTGGCACCTTTTTTTTTCTTGGTACCTTTTTTTTTCTTGGTGCCTTTTCTTTTTCTTGGTGCCTTTTTTTTTCTTGGTGCCTTTTTTTTTCATGATGTTTTTTTTTTAAGTAGAATGCTAGAAAATGAATTGAAATTTAATGATAACAAGGATTAGGAAACAAACATGCATATCTATCGATATTTCATTCTTGTCACTTTTCTTGTTGCAATTTAGTTTAAGGTCAACTTTTTTTAAAATATTGGCATTATAAAAATTTGTCCAGTACTAATTAGCTGGCAACTTAAGTTTCGCCTTCTAATCCGTGTAGTTACAGACCTTTACAATACAGATTTTTATTTCAGCAATTTAAAATTTATGCCCTTATTTATTCTAATCGTTTGGAAACAATTGAAAAATGTCGAATTGACAAATTTTTCGATACTACCAGGGTTAGTGGTAACTTTGCCAATTGTAAGTTACCGGTAAGTTACAATAAGGCAAGTTACAAAGTTACCATTTAAGAACGATAATAAATAATGAGATAATTAATCATTTTAGTATCAGTAATCGTGACATAATTTTTGCTATAATTAAAAATTTTATAAACCGCTGGGCCGGGTCGGGTTAGACTGGACCGGGCCATAATTTGAAGTATCCCGGCCCGGCCCGAACCCGTAACTTTTGTTGGGCCGGGCTCGGGCTTGGGTGTATAAAATCTTTATGGGTTCGGGCTTAAATTTAGAAATACCCAGCCCGACCCGGCCCATTCCGAACCCTAAGTGTTTACTAGGCAGGTTTGAGTACTAGCTTTTGTAATAAGCAAATATATTATTGAGGCAGATCACATATGAGCACTGAAGGTTAGCAAATTTGCAGGCAATGAGGCAGCTATATGAGTTTTCTTTGTATAGAAAACAATACTTTAAGCCAATTTTTTTTTAGTTGTATATACAGAGTAATTGTATAATTATATAAGCTTTATAAAATAAAGTAAAAGCAGGATTGCTAAAAAAAAAAAAATAAAATAAATACATATAGTAACAAGGAATTAAAATTCAATTTTGAAAAAAGTGTTAAAAAAATACTATATTCAAGACAGATAGCAAGCATGCAAATTACTCAATCCCAATATAGAAGATAGTGACAATAAATAACAATACAAGGCTCTTTTAAGTCTTGTAATTAGATTATCAAAAAGTTTGAAAGATATTAAATAACTAACAAAAAAGCATTAACCATATAAGAGTTTGTTAAACTACACTTTTTTAATAAAATTAGTATTAAATAACTTTATGTATTAAACAATTTTACAGTAGTTATTTAACTGCATATTATGTAACCATGATACGTATACAGTTAAATAACTGAAGTTGTTTAACGCATAAAGTGTTATTTAATACTAAAAAATGTAATTTAATAAACCCTATATAGGTTAACACTTTCGAACTTCCTGATGTTCCAGATGAACAATTTCGGTATACGCAAACATAGCAATTTCCGAGTAACTATTTTCTATCCTAACTCTACAGATAATATTTTTCAATTATGTATATAATAATAGTAAATGCACTAAGAAATTATAAGATTTACTTACAAATCTGTTAACATAAATTTTATATTCTCTTGAATTATATTGACATTACACTCCTGTTTCGCAGCTTGACGCTATATTAGTAGAAAATATAAATAAACACTTTTTGATTTGGGTATATATATATATATACTGTATTTATAGTTATTTCCACTTTTTTTCTGGTCTATAAAATATTCGACGTTGTTTCTAGAACAGAAAAAAAAAAAGTAACTTAAACCTAGTGTCTTTGAGATAATAATTACCTGTATACAATACCCGGAAAACCTCATTTATTTTTAAAATTGAATGAATAGTACCGGGTACTATTCACGAATCCAGCGATTTCATTGATGGAGAAGGGTACTTTATGTGGTAGGATATTATTTCGGGGGATACTATATACAGTGATATACGGTATATAACGTATGAGAAATCAGAGATAATAATTTTTTCATAATCATCACGCCGAACATAGTGTGAGGGCACCTACACCAAAAAGATGACTACACCCTTCGATGCTTACGGTTAGTGTGATGGTCAAAATACTTGATTCAGATATCAAATCATGATCAAAATCAGTATGTATGTATAACATACTAATTTGATCCATGATTATTTAATATCCGATTTGATTGTGCCGAGCACTAACTAGTACCATAAGACTTACGGTACTAGTATTCTGTAACTGCTATCGCTATCGCTATTTTTATTTAAAATTAGTCTTTTTTTTAAAAAAAAAAATTCTTCCCCTGTGATCAGATTAAGAGGAAGTTGGCTGTTGCATTATTAAGTCCACCGGCACGCTCCGGACAATAACATCCGCATTATGACCTAACCCTAGTAAAGCCGTTTATGAGGAGGACAATGAACATTGCGCAGCTATAGATTACTAAATCAGTATGTGAATGATCTGTGGATCACGCGGGATATGCGGATCTAAAATAATATAAGATGCTCCGAATAATCCTGGAAACCCCACAACACACATACATGGTAATAGATGAAAAATGGCGTGATTATAATTTAACCTAAGAAAGGGGCGATTGATTGACTGATATTCAAGAAAGATCCGGAAAGACATATAAATAACTTATTGTACGCAAACATGACGTGTTTACTAATCCGTTTTATGATGTAATTCGCAGGTCTGTGTGTTCATATCATCAATTTATTATATCACATTATACCAGTTATATACTCTATTATAGTCTCTAATGAGACTAAAGTGAGTCAAGATAAATTCTTTTTATATATTGAAATTATTACTAATGAAAGTTCACAGCCCGATGGCTTCAATGTAACGATTGTGGACAGACGGATATGTCACAATATTATGGGTTATATTGAATAGTCACATCTCGAATCTTGAATTGTAAAATGATTCATGATAAATATGTGCATTAAAAATCAGATGTATCATAAAAAATGAGAATCCATCTGAAAGATCGCGTAAAATCCATATATATTATACGCCTTTACAATAATGGAAAAGTTGATCAAATTAGTATGATTTATTTTCATAATGTAAAAAAAAGCGAAACTTATTTCAGGCAGTACGTACATGAACGAGAAAACTAGAGTACGTTTCCGTGTAACTATTGGACAAGATCGCGAAGAGATTGAAATACGTGAAATTGAACGTGACGTATAAGGCAAAAATCAACAATGAACATGGGTTATTTTGAATTGATCTAAATAAGGGAAAGATATCAACGAAATATCATTTACATGATTTACGAGAAAATACTATCGTCATCAAAGAACAAGAAAGCTATTACTAGAATAGCATAACTAATTCACGTCGTTACGATATCATTCCAGTGACAAAAGAAAAGAATATATACATGTAAATGTGATTAGTTTATAAATATGGATTTAGTTTATAAACTTGTATGACCAGCTTTTACATACGCGTTAGTATAAATATGTATTAGCACGTATGAAAAAAAGATTACAAATTGCTGATTATGAAAAATCAAGTTCAAAATTCCCATTAAAAGATGAATCATCTTCTGTCGTCACCATCACTGGTTCATCGCCACCGAATCCTCTAAAAGTAAATGGCAATTGTTGATCTGAATCCGGTGTTTTTGGAGAAAATCCTACAACTCTCAACCTTTTCGAATACCAATTTATGATTTCATCTTCTTTATTCTTTCTTTATTTTTTAAAAAGTCAATAATATAAAATGAATAAATGACGTCAATTTTTATTGATTTCTATTTACATC